CCCTGTGCTTCCCTGGCCCTTGGGAGGTGGGAATTGTTCCTGGGCAGAGGCAGGGACTGCCTTCAACAGCAGCTCCTGAGGATTTCCCAACTTTCTGTGTCTTTATCCAGCTCTGTAATGGGGATAATGTGGTATCACTGGAGGATTCTGCTCTTCCAGCCTGCTTTCTTTACCCTGGGCTGGAGTTGTGCTGGAATTCTGCTGACGTAGTTGCAGTAGTTGGCAGGGGGCTGTTTCTTGGGAGAGTTGCAGCTCTTCCCTCTCCCCTGGAGATAAATGGAAGACCCAGACCAAAATGGGGGCGATCCGGAGGCTGGGGAGTGTCAGGAGAGCCGAAGGAGAAGGGTGGGATTGACGGCTCCGTCCAGCAGAGACAGGTCCCCTCCTTTCCAGGTGAGCAGCTGCCGTAAGCTCCCGTGTTCTCTTGCAGGTGAGCACGGGGCCCAGCTGGGGCTGCACAGCGGCAGCGGGGACGGGCTGGGGGACGAGAGCGCGACCGTGGAGGAGGGGGAGACCAGCCCCGACCCCCAGCCCCAGCAGGGCCGGAAAACACGGAGGGAAGCCTGCACCTGTCCCTACTGCAAGGAAGGAGAGGGCAGGTGAGGCTGCTGCCCACAGGTCTCGAAGTGCCTCGTTTTGTGGAGTTGTTTGGGTTGGAGAGGGTCCCTCGGATCATCAGGTCCAGCTGTTCCCCCCGCTCTGGCAATGCCACCCATGTCCCCAAGTGCCACATCCGTGTGGCCACCTGGGCACCCCCAGCTCCTTTCCCAGCTTTCCAGCCCTGGTTCCCCCCTCCCCGTGCCTGGAGCGCCCCATGGGGCTGCTGTGACCCAGGGGCAGGACACAAACCTCACCCCAAACCCATCAGTCCCACAGGGCCGACCAATCCCAGTCCAGCAGACCCACACCCCCCAGGCTGCTGGGATTCCCTCGGCTTTAACCCTTCCCTTCTTGCAGGAGCTCTGGGGATCCAGGGAAAAAAAAGCAGCACATCTGCCACGTGCCAGGCTGCGGGAAGGTGTACGGAAAGACCTCGCACCTGCGGGCGCACCTGCGGTGGCACACGGGGGAGAGGCCCTTCATCTGCACCTGGGTGCTGTGCGGGAAGCGCTTCACCCGCTCCGACGAGCTGCAGCGGCACAAGCGCACGCACACAGGTAGGGCTGGGGCTCCCGGCCGCCCAGGAAATCCTGGGAATTCCTTGGGCTGCCCGCTCCGACGCCTGGTGCTGCACGGGGCAGCCACGGGGATCCCCGTGCTGAGCTGAGAGCCTCTCCAGAGCCTGGGCATTGTCAGGGGGAGGCACCTTTTCCCAAGATCCCAACTTTTCCCAAAGTTCCAGCGTGTTCAAGCATTGGCCTTGATGTCTTTGACCCCCCTCAAGGGCAGGAACCTCTTCCCAAATCCCAACCTTTTCCCCCAGCCTCAGCTCCCCATCTCTCCCCGTTCCCGCTGTCCCTCACACCCCTGTCCCTCTCCCCCAGGAGAGAAGAAATTCGCCTGCCCGGAGTGCCCCAAACGCTTCATGCGCAGCGACCACCTCTCCAAGCACATCAAGACCCACCAGAACAAGAAGGGAGGCGCCACCAACGTGGCCATGAACGTCTCGGCTGTCCCCATGGACACGGCGGCCTCGGGCGAGGGCAACGGCGGCGCCACGCCCTCGGCGCTCATCGCCACCAACATGGTGGCCATGGAGGCCATCTGCCCCGAGGGCATCGCCCGCCTGGCCAGCAGCGGCATCAACGTCATGCAGGTGGCCGACCTGCAGTCCATCAACATCAGCGGCAACGGCTTCTGAGCCCACGGCCAGCGCCGGGAGGCGCCGGAGCCGGCGGCCTCGGCACCTCCAGCACTAACCCAGCCCGGCACCGCCGCCACCTCCACTCGAAGGCCAGAGCTATATATATATATTTTTTAATTTTGGCTTGATTTTTTTTTTCTTTTTTTTTTTTTTTTTTTTGTCCCTTTTTTTTGTCCTGTTTTCCTCCCTGTCCCTCCCGCCCGCCTCCCTGCCCGAGGTCCCTCGGCGTCATCACGCCTTGGTCCTTTTAGCAAAAAAAAAAAAAAAGAAAAAAACAACAACAACAACAAAAAAAAAAACAACAACCCAATGACAGAAATACCAACAAAACAACACAAAAAAAAAAAAAACCAACCCAAAAAAACAAAAAAGAAAAAAAAAACCACAAAAAAAAAGAAGAGAAAAGATTCTATATTATTATTATATATATAAAAATATAAAATGTGTTCGTTTGAGAGAGGAGAGATGTTGCTGCGACCATGGCGTGGTCCCTCTGATGCCTTATCCTGGAGCAGGTCAGACGATGCCCGAGCTCTCCTCCCCTTCCCGGATCTCATTTTCCAGCAGGATCCCTAAACTCCCCCTCCCCGGGCTGTCGGACGCTTTGCTTTGAGGTGACTCTGTAATTCCTTTGGCATTCTCGGGGAGAGATCCCGCTGGATTTTTCACCCTTGGACTCCCACTGCCCTCCCCTGCCTTGGCAGGTGTTTTTTTAATTTTTTTCTTGGATCTTGGTTTTTTTCCAGCCGTTTTTTTGGCAAGGTTCCCTGTCCCGTGGGAGTGGAGTTGCTCCATGGGAAGGTCGTGGACAGAGGGGCTGGGACACAGCCCTGGGGGGAAAAATTGGAGCCCCCTCAGGGGGGAAAAGTTGGTGTTTTCTTTTTATTACAGCCAGCGTTGGAATTAATAATAATAGTAATAATTGGGGAAAAAGGAGAATCCGCGGAGCTCCGCCGGTCTGGAGCAAGGGGGAAGCACCACAGGGACACGAGAGATGCTCGGGGGTTTTCTTGTGGCACCGCTGGAGGTGGCTCCTGAGAAAAAAAAGAAGGGTATTGGAAATAGGGACAGCTTGGGAAAAAAAGCCCAGAAAGGGTTTTCCAGGATCCTGCTCTTCCTCCCGCGGGAGGGCTCGGTCCTTTCCGTTCTTCCTCCCACACCCTCCTCTTCCTGCCCCGGGCGCATCCCAGCTGCCCTGCATGGCTTCCATCCCAAAACGCGGCTGTGGGGTGCGGGGTGTGGATCCCCCAAAAAGGGGAAACCTGGGATTGTTCCCAAGCTCTGGGGTGAGCCCAGCCGGGTGTGAGCGGGCGGGGGCCTGGAGCTGCCCAAGAACTCCCCTGCTCCGCCTGTGGGCTCGGGGCTGGGCCCCGGGATCGCCGCTGACCCACCGATCCCACCTGCCCAGGAAAATCGGGCGTTTTTCCCTGCCCCACGCCGCCGCCCAGTGCTTCCCACTCCGGGTGTCCCCCCACCCTTTTCCTACTCCCCCTTTTCCCAGGAGAAGCTCCAGCAGAGCCAAGACCATGGGGCAGGCGCTGGCGAGGTGCCGGGATCCCTCGGGAAGCCTCTGGATAGGACCTGACCCGGCTGCCCCGTCTCCGGCCCCGAGCTTTTCCATGCTCGGGAGCTCCAGGAGCCAGTGGGAAGCGGGAATCTTGTTTTGGGATTTTTGGTAAAAAGACAAAAAAACACAAAGAAAAAGGAAAGGCAGCAGAAGCTCCCTGGGGAGGGGGCGCAGGGCCCGGCCCCCCAGCCCCCCCGGCTCTCTCTCTCAATATCTATTTTTGCATTTGTATATTTTTATATAGGAAACTTTAAGCATTTGTATTTTAATAACCCTGTGAAGCACTATGAGCTCCCCCCACCCCCAATCCCCCCAGCCCAAAACCCACAAACGACTGGGACAAAAAACAGGAGGGTTCTGTATTTAATGGTCAATTTGATGATTCTGCCCCCACCCCGAAGCCCCCCCGAGCCCGACTCCGTCCCCAGCGGGGATCAAGTGCCAAACCCGGTCCCGGGTCCGGTGTTGGGATGTCCCCGTGTCCCTCCCCACGGACTGGCCCCCGAGGAGCTTGGCTTTCCTATGGAAATGCAGCCGGGAGCGGGGGGCAGCGAGGGACCCCCGGGGGGGCTTTTCCCCGAGCCTGGGCTGCTCCCCTGCAGCTTTTGGGGGGATCAGAGCGTTTAGGGGAAATCAGAGCATTATCTTAGGGGGAAACCGGAGCATTTTGAGGGGCTCACACCACCAGCGCTGCTCCCAGTGCCGGATCCCACACCCCCACTTTGGCTCTGTTGGCACCGGGGTCCCCGCCCTGCTCCTGGCGCTCCCCACCCGCCCCAAACCCCCCCCGCAGCCCCCAGACCCCCCCCCAGCCATTCCCGGGACACAGAACACAAACGTGCCTTGACAAGGGGGTGACGGGCTGGGGATGAGCCCCCCCTGCTCCCCTCCCACCCCCCACACCCCGCAGAGAGTTTGGGGGGGCTCTGGGGGCTGTCCCCGAGGCTGCCCCCATCTCCCAGCTTTAATCAACTGTCACCCCTTCATTCCGGGGGGGCTGGGGCCGGTTCTCTATGCAGCGGGGGGTCCTGGGGGGTCCAGCCCCCCAAACTTGCAATAATTCTCTCCCTGTTTGATCTCGTCCCATCTCTGTTCTGTTTTAATTTGGGAAAGGGGAGGGAAGGGGGGGGTTGGTTTTTACAAATCCGGTGGCTGATGTCATAAACCTCCCTCCCCAAAGGCGATTTTTTGGGGGGGGAGGTGGTGGATGTCTTCTTTTTTGGGGTCCCAAAGTGCTATTTTTTTGTACAAAAAGACTTAGATGAAACTGTTAGTTTTGGGGGGCTCCTTTGTAAATGGGGAACGACGAGTTTTTGTAATAAACACAAGTCGCTGGCGTTGTCTGGAAGTCTGCTGGGGGATCCCTTTTGGGGGAGCACAGCCGGTTTTTGGGGGATGGCAGGGGTGCAGTCGGTCCCAGAGTGTCACCGGGGGGGGACTGGGGACACTGAGCGCGATGTGGGTGACGCAGGGAGGGGGGCCAGGCCTGGCTGTCCCCCCCCCCAGACACCCTGGCTCTCTCCTCCCTAGTGCGGGGGCAGCACCTTCTCCTCCTCCTCTCCTTCTCTTCCTCCTCCTCCTCCTCCTCCTGCTCCTGCTCGGCTCCGCTTCCCACCCGCGGAGGCTCCCATGGGGCGCCCAGGTGGGTGCTGGGGGGCGCAGCCGGGGTTGGGGGGGCCTTTCTGAGAGAGTTAAAAGGCACCCCCAGTGCGCGTGTGTCCCCTGCCAGGCCCCCACAACCTGACCTGCGTGTCCTACAAGCACCCGAGCGTGCGGGGGGCGCTGGGGGGCGCGGGGGGGGCGGCGGCCGGCGCCGTTCGCTGCCCCCCCGGGCAGTGCTGCGTCGGCATCTGGAACCGCAGCCAGGCTCTGGTGCAGGGTGAGACCCCCGCGACCGGGGGGCTTTGGGGAGAGGGAAAGGGTGGCTGCGCTTTGAGCCCGGGACGGGGGTCTGGAGGAGCAGAAGGGGACGGGGGAGGCCGGCTTGGTCCTGCCCCGGGGGGATTTTGGGGCAGGATGGAGGGGTTTGATCCTGCCCCGGGGGGATTTTAGGGGAGGATGGAGGGGTTTGATCCTGCCCCGGGGGGATTTTAGGGGAGGATGGAGGGGTTTGATCCTGCCCCGGGGGGATTTTGGAAAGGCAGAAGGAGCTGGGGCAGGTAGGGTAGGATGGAGGTGTTGTGGGGATTTTGGGGCAGGATTGAGTGGCTTGGTCCTGCCCTGAGGGTCTTGGGGAGGCAAAAGGGGTCTGATCCTGTGCGGGGGGCAGGGAGCGGGGGCTGATCCTGGCCGGGGGGAATTGGGGAGGTTTTGGTCCCTCCCCAGGGGCTCCGCTCGGCCTTGGCCTTGAGGAGCGGCGGCGCTGGGAGGAGCGGCTGCGGGGGGGACCCGCACGGGGGGTCCCACCTGTCCCCCTGCCCCCTCCCTGTCCCCCGGCGCCCGGGGGTGACCGTGCCGCTGTTCCCAGGCTGCTGGGGCGGCCGGGGGGACGCCTGTCCCTCGGCCACCTGCGCCCCCAGCCCCGCGGGACACCCCGGCAGCTCCGTGCTCCTGTGCCTGTGCCACGGCCACCTCTGCAACGGCAACGCCACGGGGACAGCGGCCGTGGGGCTGGGGGGAACCCGCCAGGGCCCAGGTGCGGGGGCCAGGGGGTTCTGGGGGTCACTCGGGGATGGGGACACAGAGGGGGCCCACGGGGGATCCTGAGATCTTCAGGGGACCCATGGGGGATGGACCCCCAGGTGGGGAAGGTGGGACCCAGACGGGATTGGGGAGGGACTGAGTGGACCTGGGACTCACGGGGGACTGGGGAAGCCATAGGATCCCCTAAAATGCCCCCCCCCAGCACCCCGGATACCTGGGGGCCAGGGGGACTCTGTGTCACCGCAGTCTCTGTCCCCAGTGCCCGGCCAGGGGGGATCCGTGGGGACCCTGTGGCTGTGGGGTGCCGGCCCCCTCCTCCTCATCCTCTTCACGTGTCTGGGCATCCTCGGTAGGGACAGGGGCACGGCGGGGACGGGGGGACCCCCGGGCACAGACACCCCCTACCCGATGTCCCCCGGGTGTCCCCAAACGCCACATCTGTGGCGTCCCCAGAGTGCAGGTCCCCAAGTGTTGTGTCACCCTGTCCCTGGGGCGGGGGTCCCTGCTGTCCTAGTGACCCCCTGGGGTGGGGTGTCCCAGGCGGGGTGTCCCCAGTGTCCCGGGGATCCCGGGATGCCACATTCCCCGTGTCCCCTGCGTGGTGAGGGGGGCTGCTGGTCCCCGGTGTCCCCAGGTCCGCGTCCCTGATTCGGGGGCGTTCCTCGGGGGGGGTCCCCGGATGGGGGTGTCCCTGGTGTCCCCCATCCAGGACTGCGCCGGACAAGGGCCCGCACGGGTCAGCCACCGCGGGGGGGGCGGAGAATCGGGGTCCCCCCGGAGCCCCCCAGCCCGGACCTGCCTGCGCTGCATTTCCTGCAGGTGCGGGACACCCGCGGGGCGAGGGGCAACCACGGGGAGGGCACCCATGGGGCGAGGGGCAGGCGGGGGGGCGCCCAGGTAAGGAGGCGACGCTGGGAGGGGATGTGGGGACGCCCACGGCAAAGGGGGCTTCAGTCCGGGGGTGGCACAAGGGCGCTGAGAGTGCCCGGGGAGCCCCAAAAGGTTCCCGGATATGAGGGTCCCTGCGTGGGGGGATGCCGGGGGCTGGGGACACTCGGTGCCAGCTGTGTCCCCTGTCCCCCCACGGTGTCCCCGCGGGGCAGGTGCTGCAGTCGGGCCGGTTCTCGGCGGTGTGGCGGGGGACGCTGCGCCAGCGGCCCGTGGCCATCAAGGCGTTCGCGGCCGGGGCTGGCCGGAGGTTCGCGGCCGAACGCGCCGTGCACGCGCTGCCGCTGATGGAGCACGAGAACGTGGCCAGGCTGCTGGACACCAGAGCGGCCGGACCCCGCGCCCGAGGGGGACTCCTGGTCCTGCAGCTCTACCCGGCCGTGGGTCACCTCGGGGGATGACAGGGGCGCACAGGGGTTTAGGGGGCTCGGGGATGTGCAAGGGGATGAGGAGGCTCGGGGGGAGGCGGTGGGACGGTCGGGGAGCACATGGGTGGGGATGGGGGGCTGGTGGGGGGAGATGCGTGGGAGATACTGGGGGGTGCCCCACGCCCCCACCCGTGTCCCTCGCGTGTCCCCAGGGCTCCCTGCGCCACTTTCTGGGGCAGCACGTGGGGACCTGGGCGGGCAGCGTGCGCCTGGCGCTGTCCCTGGCCCGCGGCTTGGCCTTCCTGCACCAGGAGCTGTGGCGTGACGGTGAGGGTGGCCCTGTCCCCGCTGTGCCCTGGGCTCCCCCAGCCCCGTCCCCCCCGTGACCCCCGGTGCCCCCCAGGGCTGTACAAGCCCAGCGTGGTGCACCGGGACCTGAGCAGCCAGAATGTGCTGGTGCGGGAGGACGGGACCTGCGCCATCGGCGACTTCGGGCTGGCGCTGGCGCTGCCACCGCGCGCCCAGGACGGCACCGGCGCCCGGCACGCCGTGACCATCCGGAAGGTGACGGGGCGGGGTGGGACGGCGACAGCAGCGGCTCGGGAAGGGGACAGCCCAGGGTTGGGGATGGATCCGCAAATGTCGCTGGCGGCGAGGGCTGTGGGTGCCGCCTGAGCCCGTCCCCGGCGCGGGGGGCCCGGTGGCCCCGCCGGCCCCGAGCTCAGGCCCCGTGGGGCGCAGGCGGGCACCCAGCGGTACCTGGCACCCGAGATCCTGGACGAGAGCCTGGACCTGCGGGCCTGGGGCCGGGCACTGCGCCAGGCCGACGTCTACGCGCTGTCCCTGCTGCTCTGGGAGATCCTGTCCCGCTGCCAGGCCCTGAGCCCCGGTGAGCTCCGCGGGTCCCCCCGCGCTGCCCGCGGCCCCCCGGCCCCGCTGACCCCCGGCCGCCCCGCAGGAGCCCCGGTGCCGCCGTTCCGGCTGGCGTACGAGGCCGAGCTGGGCTCCAGCCCCAGCGGGGCTCAGCTGCGGCGTTTGGCTGCGGACGAGAGGCGGCGGCCGCTCATCCCCCCCGCCTGGCACCGCGCCCCCCAGGTCAGACCCCCGGGACCCCGGGCCGGGGGGCCGCGGCTGCTGGGGGCGCCCGCGGGGGTCCCGGGGGGTGCAGGGGGTCCCGGGGGGTCCCGGGGGGTGCAGGGGGTCTCGGGGGTCCGCGCCTCGGTGCCCGGGGGTGTTTGGGGGGGGTCGCTGCCCAGGGGTCCCTTCCCCGCTGCCCGGCGATGACCCTGGGGGTACCGGGGGGGTGTCCCCGTTCGCGGGTGTCATCCCCGGGTGTTTCCCCCGCTGAGCCCGGGGAGGGGGGTCCCACAGCCCGGGGGGGCTCTGCCGGAGCTGCTGGAGGATTGCTGGGACCCGGACCCCGAGGCGCGGCTCTCGGCCGAGCGGGCTCTGCAGCGGCTCCAGCGCTTGGCCGCGGGGCCCGCACCGGCCCCGGAGGACCCCGGCCCGGGGGTCGCCCCCCGCCAGGTGCGTGCGGGGAAACTGAGGCACGGGGCGGGCAGGGAGCGGCCGAGGAACCTAGCGGGGACTTGCGGGGAAACTGAGGCACGGGGCGGGCGGGGAGGAACCGGGAACCGGGCGGGAGGGGCACGGTCCGGCCCCGCCCTCGCTTCCTGCCGGGAGGGGCCGCGGCCGGAGCGAAGGTGGGAACGGAGCCCCAGGATCCCAAAATCTCCACCCCAAAATCCCCACCCCAGAATCCCCCTGCGCGCCCCCAAACCTTCGACTCCCCCATTGTTCCCCCGGGACAGTCCGGGGGGGACCCCCCAAAGCTTCCGTGACTCAGTTTCCTCTTCCCCACTGCCAAGGGTGGGGAGCTCGGGAGGTCCCGCTCACCCCCTGTGCCCCCCCAGGTCCTGGAGTCTCCCACCATGTGGAACCCTGGTGCAGGTACAGGGGGGCACCCCGGTCTGGGGGGGCTGCCTTGACCCCCCCCAGGGTCAGACCCCTCCCCTCAATCTCCTCATTTTCCCCCCTCAGGACAGCCGCCCCCCCCCAACCCCGTGTACCCCCCGAACCCCACGTACCCCCCCCAGGTCCCACCCCCCAACCCCGTGTCCCCCCCCCCCGCGGCGCCCCCCAACCCGCTGGGGGGGCCTGGGCAGCCCCCGTACCCCGCCGGGCCTCCCCCGTGTCCCCCGGGGCCACCTCTGGCCCCCTCGGGTCCCCCCTTGGGCCCCCCCCTGCCGCAGCCCCCCCACCCGGGGGTGCTCCCCCACCCCGGGGCGCTCCCCTCGTGCCCCCCCGCGCTGGACAAGAAGGCGGCGAAGAAGATGAAGAAGAGGATGAAGAAGGCTCACAAGAGGCACAAGGTGGGGGGGGGACCCGGGGGGGGACACAGGGGGGTCACCCCCAGTCCCCCTCGGGGGCTCATGGCTCTGCTGTCCCCCCCCAGCGCTCTTCGTCGTCGTCCTCCTCCTCCTCCTCCAGCAGCTCCGACTGAGGCTCCTGGGTGTCCCCCAGGATCAGATGGGACCCCCCAGGATCAGATGGGACCCCCCAGGACCCCCGGGACCACCAGGACCGCTCGGGACCCCCCAGGACAACCAGGAGCCACCTGGGACCTCTTGGGACCCTTGTGACCACCCGGGACCCCCCAAGACCCCCAGGAGCACCCGGGGCCCCCCTCCCCTGGTGCCGGGGGGTCCCAGGGGGTGCCCCCGCTGTCCCCCAATAAAGCTCTAGGACACCCCCATGTGTGTCAGCGTCTCCTTCGCGCCGATGGGGGCTGAGCTTCGGGGGGACACAAACCCCCAGTGCTCCTCGGGAGGGGGAACTGCCCCCCGCCCCCCATTGCCCCCCATTGCCCCCTTTTGCCCTCCAGTTGCCCCATAGCTCCCCACACACAATTAGTCACCTTTAATCGCTCCCCTTTACCCGCAGCTCCCCCCGTTTCTCCCCAGAGCTGCCCCAGTGTCCCCGTTGTTCCTCAGAGCCCCCCAACGCCCCCCAATTCCTGCCAGCGCCCCCCCAGCGCCCCCGCTCCCCTTCCGGACCTCCGCTCCGCTGGGGGGCGCCGTGCGGGGCGGCGGCCGCTCTGTCCCGCCCCGCGCGCGCGGTGCGTTTCCGGGTCGGGGCGGGTGTAAATCGGGCCGGGCCCGCCGC